GTACAAACGGCATTGCCGACGCGGCGAGATATCTTTTTTTTTTTATAGATAGATCCGACAAATTGATGTTAAGTGAAGGTGAAGTCCAGACGCGAAGATAGCTGATACAGCAGTTCTAACTGCCACACCAGCCATCCTCACCCTGCCGGCCTGCAAGTTGCTTCTTCACGCCTCTTTTAAAGGATCCCAGGTTGTAAGAGGGAGGGAACACGTGAGCGGGCAGAGCATTCCATTTACGGATAGTACGACAAAGAAATGAGTCACCAAATTTCTTTGTACGCGTTGGAATTGTAGCCACAGTTAGACGGTGACAACGTAAGCCAGCGCGCGTGGTCCTCTGAAGGAAAGGGGAAGGTGGAATAAGAGAGAATAACTCCTCAGAACACTCGCCGTGGTACAGGCGATAGAACGCGCTTAGTGACGCCACGTCACGGCGTAATTGAAGAGGCTCGAGGTGTTTAGTCACCTCCTCATCGCCTATGATGCGGATTGCGCGCCGCTGTAACCTATCCAAAGCATCGAGCAAGTACTTAGCGGAGCCATCCCAGAGGTGCGAGCAATATTCCACGCAAGACCGCACCTGCGTCTTATACAACAAGCACAGTTGCTCGGGCGTGAAAAAACGCCGCACCTTGTTCAGGACTCCGAGTTTGCGTGAGGCTGTTTTTATCACACTTTCGATGTAATTCTTTGGATTTAAGTCACAGCGAATCTCCATACTGAGCATGATGATACTGCTTTCTAGCTCCAGTGTTGTGCCCTGAAGAGAAGGACATAAAAGGAATGGCGACGTTTTTGCCGTGAAAGCACAGACCTGGGTTTTCTTAGCATTGAACTCAACCAAGTTCTTGGTACCCCATACAGAAATGTGGTCCAATGCCTGATTGAGCTCAATGACAAGATTCTCCCGTTTCTGGTTACCGCCTGCCCAGCCGCTGCTTGTCCGAGATACCCCGCATGCACTGTACTATCGTCTGCATAGCAATGAATATTCCCAAGAGGAATTAAGTCATTGATATGCAGCAGAAAGAGAGTGTGGGATAGGACGGAGCCCTGGGGAACGCCGGCATTCACTGACATGAACCGCGAACTGCTACCATCCGTAAGGACACGAATTCTACGCTCATGCAGGAAGTCAGCTACCCAAGAACAGAACTGGGCCGGCAGACCGTATGCCGGAAGCTTGGAGAGAAGACTTTTGTGCCAGACCCTGTCGAATGCCTTGGCAATGTCAAGGCTAATAGCCAACGACTCGCCTCGCTTGTCGATAGCCTCACCCCAGATATGAGTCAAGTACGCTAGAAGATCACCCGTCGATCGTTTCGGTCTAAAACCATATTGACGATCATTGATCAGGGAGTGATCCTCTAGGTAGCGGGTCAGATGGTTGTTAAGGACCTTTTCTAGGACTTTACATAATACTGAGGTGACTGCTATTGGCCGGTAGTTTGCCGGGTCTGAGCGATCCCCTTTTTTGGGTACCGGTTGCATGTTAGCATCTGCTGCACATTTTTTCAGTACTACTGCTGGGATGCCATCGGGTCCACTAGCTTTCCGGACGTCGAGTTATTGCAATTCGGCACGAACCTCACGCTGCCTGATTTTGATATCCGGCATCGTTGTGCCACAATGAGGTAATGATGGTGGCGGTGCATTGCAATCATCGATTCGGGAGTTAGCCGCAAAGAGTTTTGCCAGTAAATCGGCTTTCTCCTGCGGCTTATGAGCTAGTGTTCCGTCTGGGCATCTCAGAGGTGGCAGCGAGGGCTAGCAGAAGTTCTTTTGCACGGCCTTGGCCAAACGCCAATAGCTACGGGAGCCCGTAGGATGCGTTATAAGTTCGTGACCAACACGTGCTACGCGCTGGGCATCCGCTCTGATGTAAGCCTTCTTACAGGCCTTGGAAGCAATATTGTAGGCTGCTTTTAGTGAATCGACCCCGGGATCCTTAATAGCGCGGCCTCTGATCCATCTCAAGAGATTTAAATCTGCTTGTTGTTATTTCATAGTGTTAGTGTTTGCAGTAGTGCTAAGATGAATTAGTGTAATAATTTGTTACCAATAAAAATAGACTTTGACTTCGTAATATCTACTTACATTTATTTCAGTGTAATACCTAGTCTTGTCATAAATATTGTTGCAAGGAAAAATATATTATATAAAATAATATATTATTTAATTCGCCACATTTATTTGTTTTCGTATGCAAAACCGTAAATTGATCTCATGTGTAGTGGAGACCAGACTGCAACCGCGCGAGCTTTGACGCTGAACGTCTATAGCTGTCGGCAGCCGACAGGGTCAAGCTTTAATATAACAAAATTAAAACATGATAAGAAACTGTTAGGTCTTTGCGATGATAAATATTCTTCTGCCGTTTATTGCAGGGGGGGGGGGGTTAACACACAAATGCAGTTAAATCGTTGCTACTCTACTGATGCGCAAAAAATGTAAGTTTGAAACTCACATATAAACAACAATTACACAATACACCGACAAATCCTGCACGCATAGGTATATTGTGCTTTTATGTCCAATTTGTATGCTCAAGTAGACATAAGGGATGCCTATGTATTATATGCCTACTCACCTCCTGGCAGAGTCGGCTGTGTTGCTCTATGCAAAGACCTAATAGAATGCCAAGTAATTAAAAGAACACCAAGGATTTGATTAGCAGTATGGTATATAATATAGATAACACTGTAGTGACCGATAACGTGTGCGTAAAGAGCAGTGTCGGTTACCCGATGATGAGTTTAAACAGATGCCCTGACCTTGGCAAACTAAAAAGATAAGAGCGAAGCCACAACAGTGCGTTGCGACTAGAGATGGGATTTTACCCGGAAAAAACCCCAATGTGGGAAAAAATAGGGAAAAATCCCAGGGAAAATTGCTTACATTTTATTTATTTGAAGTCCCAATATGATAAGCGGCTTATCCAGCCTACTACGGCGCGGATCTGTGTGCGTATGCGCGATATCAAATGCATTGGGTTTTTTCTATCCAGCATATTAAAGAATATTTTTTACAAAGCGCGCAATGTAATTAAGTCGCTTGCATTAACGTATACGTCAATGTTCGCTTGTGCTTGAATGTAAATATATTAGAGTCTGGCAAGGTAAGCCGGCCGGAATCGTGTTCTAAGGAGGCTTCGCCACTGCAAAGTACCTATTTTTCGCTACATTTAAAAATAAAAAATAAATAAATTTAAGATCGTGATAATTATGTTAAATAATGAAAATACTCGTCTATTGGGTTTTTTCCCACTGCCCATCTCTAGTTGCGACATCGCATCGCAAAAAGGCGATACGATACGATGATGCAACACAAAAAAAAAACATTGCAATGGCCGACAGCGCATAGGATAAGTGCCTGTCCACATCTCTACGTCACGACATCGTCAACGTGGAACGTTGCTGTAACGCGGTACGGTGCGTTTAAATAACGTGCAAACTTGCAAATTTGCGACCAGAGGCAAGCAGGAGTTTTTGATAGCTCCGTACAGTACCGCATCGTCAAAATTTCTAGGAAAACTAAACAGCGCGATATCGGACGTAAGAACAATCTAGTTTTGAAGTGAAACTTCTTTACGCACGCTTGACTTTGGGTGTAAGCTGGCGTATGCGTTGCGCGTTACGAAAAATGTGTTCGGGCGAAGCGAACGGGAGTTGAGTGGAGGATATAAGCAAGAGCAAGCAGTGCGTGCGCATAATTATTATCTTTCTCTATTTCTCTTATAGCTAGTAAATGAAATATATATATATACTAGCTGACCCAGCGAACTTCGTACCGCCCTAAAAAAATAGGGGTTGTCCAGCGGACAAAATTGTGAATCTAAACCATTCTCAGATCCCCTTGAACACACACAAAAAATTTCAACAAAATCGGTCCAGTCGTTTAAGAGAAGTTCAGTGACATACACACTCACAGAAGAATTATATATATAAAGATTTACATACATGTATATATTGTACAAACATATATAGATATATATATATATATATATGGAGCTAAAGAAGTTCAATCGTGTGGTCATAAGCATACTCGTTTTTTTTTCCATATAAAATTTGACGTTTACTATACTTTACGGAGCCGTCATAAACTCGTGTTAGAGTCTCAGATTTGAACGTTATGACGTTACGTCAACGCAACGTGCAACGTTAATACCGGCACCGTTTCACGTTGACAACGTCGTAGCTTGAAGATGTGGACAAGTCCTAATTCCGCGAGGGGTTGTGCGACGTTATCTTGTCATAGATTTCCACGATGCGACGATGTCACAACGCAGTGTTGTAGCCTGACCTTAACTGACAGTCTGTGTATACAAATATGAATACTCAAAATATTCAGATGTAAATATAAAATATTTTCTATATAAATAATTTATGTTGGGAGGTTGATGCACGGTTAGATGCAATGACAAATTTATTACACCGTGTGATAGTGAAAGGGTGATATTATAGTTCAATAAATACTAGCATATTTTGCGATGTTGATTACGTTATCCTGTAACATAAATACCTATATTTTTTTATTGTTTACATTATTCACGGTTATCAGACGAGGAAACTGTAGCTTCACTATCATAATAATGCTTTGATATTTGCGTACTGAACTCATAAAAATATTAGTTTAAACTTAATACAATTTTACAATGCGATCTATTTTCGAAGAACAGATAGAATCCAGTTTCATCACCACTTAGTAGTGCAGTAATATTTCATCGCCATACTCATCTCAAATTTAGAGCATATTTATGTGGCGATTAAGGACCTGTGTTTTAGTTCACTTCATAACTGTAGTACACCGGTGTTTCATCAGTACATATACTATGGCTGATGCCCCACACATCAGTATTTAATGACACATCACCCGTTAACGTGTGCTGCGAGAAAGCTCTCTAGAAAAAGCAGCTGTTTGCCCAGCTGTTAGCAGAAGCAAACAAAACAAAACAAATTTTTAACTTGTAATAAAATATAAAATTATGCTATTTTATCTCGAAAAAAAAACGATTAAACACTAATAATAAAACAAAACTAGCAAAATGTTATTATGTTAAGAGACAGTTATGTGAAATGAACAGAATAAAACTGAATAACGTTATGTAATTGGAAAGGTACCCAATAGTACCCATGAAAGCTTGAAAGACGAGGGCATTCCTAAGGGCCTTTTTTTTCTTGTCAAAATATTTTTCAAGAATTGCATTCCATTAAGTGGGACCCTGTAAGTCACTTTTCCACTGCTGGGGGACTTTATCCCTTGTCTCGGCAAGGTTTGATATGGATGAAGAGTGGTCCTTTCTTAACAATGCTGAAGCAAAGTTATATGTTTTGTGCATTTAGTCACTGACTATATCATTTCAGACCTTTTTTTTTTTTTTTCTTTGTGACGAGGGGAAATGCAGTTACGCACCATACCGTGACGCTGACTAGGCGCACGGCGTGTGTGGGACTCGCCGGCACGGGAAACAGTGCCGACCCTACTCAAGCAGGACCAGTGCGGAAGGCCACACTGATCCTACTCCACTAAAACCCCCCGGTACCCTCCTACGCCCATATGGGAGCGTCTCGGGACCGACGCACCTGCGTGCGCCACATCCCCGAGCACGCCCCCGGGCAGGCCCGGCCCAACGAGTGGACCGGGCGACGCGCCTCAGGAGGACTGCGCTAGGGTACTAGGCAGTCCCCAGACGTGGTGGCCTATGCCGGAGCGGCACCTAGGACGCGCGGCTGGTCAGGCCGCGCCCAGACCACCTTAGGGCCGTCGAAGACCGGCAGTTACCGCTGCCTGCCTTCTTCGGCCCACCCGTCTACGCCGGAGAGGGGCGGATATCATTTTAGACCTACAACGTACATTCAATACCTTTAGATTTTATAATGAAGTAATAACCATTACTCGTAAATTCATGAACTCTAGCTGGCATGTACTTACATAAATTTTAATGAATCTTTTTAAATATTTTGCAGCACAAATATATTCAAACTACCAGTTGTTTATATTGAAAGTTATGTAAACTTACCTTGTGTAATTTGCACCTCCGTAGACAACGGGAACAACATTATTTTGTAATGCGTGTAACAGTTTTTCAGTAACATAATCCTCACTGAATGAGTTCTCAAATGACAAATAAAAATAGTAGGTTTTATCAAGCATTTTATGACAGTAATCTTGCTTATCTCTAGAGCATGTTAAAGTGCCACAGGCACCGTATATGTCAAGTTCTAAATCATATTTTTTGAGTTCTCTTTTCAAATGTATTGCCAAATCCATTCTTCCCGATTTATCAAAACAGTTGGACACAAACCAAGCGGCTGCTTTTGTCTTAGTTCTTAACTTATCTTTGAACTCATCATTTACACGGTCCATTTCTTCGACTTTCATCCAATGCATGATTTTCTTCGGACCTATAGTGTTGTTATTAGAGTCTTTTATCAACATATAACCCCATCGCACCTCGGAATCGAGCCTGAATGTCCATGTCCAGTTAAAAAAGCCATCTAAACTGTTGGAGCATATGGGATAGTAGTGAGACGATTCTATGGAAGCGAAAACGTACTTTTGCTTTTCCGACCTTACTTGCGGCAGGTTTTTATTCTGAAGTCTTATAACCTCAGGTCCTGAGAAAGCGATCACGTCGAATTTGGTGATGTCACTGAGGTAATTTTTGTCCGGAGTGACAATGCAGTTAGTAAAGGGACATTTGCGACTCGTGAAGCCCTCTTGACCAACTCCCATGTATACGAAAGGCACGTTTTGAGCCGAAGTCCACTGTAAAATGTACTTCATTTTTTTCACGTCACTATTTTTTGTTTGTGCACTATCACTTTTAGTACTTTTCACATCACTTTTCGAGGCGTCACCATTGTCAGTTCCAGTTTGTACGTTAATTACTTGCATTTGTTTGGCTTGATCTATTAAGTTTGGACGAGTAGTATAGTCTCGTGCGGACATATATAAAAAAAACAATACCATAACGAGTGCGCAAGAGAAAAATATTTTCGCCGAAAATGTTGTACGCATTTTCATTTCTTTTTTTCATGTATGAAATATTTTCGTGTATGCGCGCGCGATTCGCCCACTGCTCGAGTGAACCGTAACTAAAAGATATTATAGCTATATGCGTATAGTTACAACATTTTAAAGTGTGCACATTTATGACCGGTACTATTTTACACATAATATTACGTTTTCCCCATCATTGTTTATCGTTTCCACACAAATACCATTAAATGTGATTTTAGATTTCCACAGTCAATAATTAGGTTAGGTAAAGATTATATATTGTAAGTTTTTAGCACCGGTTAAAATTTTAATGTGAATAGGATACAATAGTGTGGAACTACTAAACCTTATCACAGCGTGGCTAGACTGATACTAGTGACCAGTGTACACCGAGGCACTGAGGGTGTGTTAAAGCCACTCCCAAAATGACATTGAATCCAGGTCAAGAGTACCAAGGTCGTCTCTAATACTCGGATTAATTTCCATTATAGACTTCTTTATTTAACCTTAACTTATCTGTCCTGATATCACGCGACGTGCGCACTCTATATTACGAATGGTTGGTCAGGCAAATCTCACAAACGTAGCGCTGGTTTAACTTGCCATTTGAGTCAGCAAGAGTAAGAAAAAAATATATTTTTTTATTTATTCTTAAGTTGCTCCGTTTTATTATAAGCATCGTTACTATAGGTTACTTTTGAGTGATTGATATAAAATGAATTATACGTTTAACCACTTACAAACTTATTATTGTTATATTTTTTTATTTTAAGAATTTAACTGCTCGCGAATATTTTCTAGTTAAATTTTCTTTAGATATAAGCTTATTATTGTTTACTAATAAGGGCTCCACGGGGTTGTAGATTATTTGCCACCCTTTTAATATAAAAACAATGTACCTAATGCTAAAGTTCAAAGTTAAGTAACTTAACAGGAAGCCAAAATTAGTGTAGTATACATTAAGCTTTCTAGAAAACCTCACATCTTTGGGATAGACTGCACCGAAATCCACCCAATATTTGAACCGGTTGTTCCCAGTCGTCACCACTGGGTTTGTTCCCACTAGGGACAAAAGAGAAGATACTTACCTCTTGTTGCCATTGGTGACAAATTTGCCACTGGTGACAGTTTGGATGAAATAATAGTAGTTGTTGTCAGTGTAATGCTTGCTTTCTTGTTGCTTAACTCCACTGCACAATGTTTCAGTACAACTCTTCTAGCAGCTTTTGGACGTCAAGTGATTGCAACTCCGCACGAACTCACTCTACCTGATTTTCATGTCAGGGATCTTAGACCACACTGAGGCCATGTAGGTGGGAGTTTATTGCAATCAAAGCCAGTAAATTGGCTTTCTCGTGCGGCTTCTGAGCTAGTGATCCGTCTGGACATGACTGACAAGAATCGCAAATTCATAATATAAGGCGTCACCACTGATATCGATAACGATTTTGCTTTATTCCGGGATGTCACTACTAGTGACAGCTGATATTTCACTTTCCCTTTCGTCACCACTGCCAACAAATGGTATTTCTTTTTCGTTTCTCCCCAGTGGGAAAGAAACCACCAGTGGTGAGGACTGATAATAACTAATTTGCACTGTGTTTACATAGTAACTATGAAAAAGTGTTTAGTTCAACCTAAGGAGAACCCTTTGCCCCGAAAATGGGAGGGGCTGTCCTGTACTGTAGCAGAGATAATATACTAACCGCAGAATAAATTAAATGTAACGTAACCTTCAGCGACAATCACATCAGGCATAGTCACTGCGGCAGATACACCTACCTGAGTACATCAATTAAATGGGTGATTTTCCCAGGCAGTAGTTTTCCGCGTCGAGAAAGGCTGAAAACGGTAGTGTGGGCTTAGAAAGATACATGTTTTTTTTGTTTAGTAAAAGGCTTTGAGATCTTCATGAGGCAATATATATTTACCGCATTAACCACTTTATACATGAGGAAAATAGTATTTTTCCTTCCATTTTCTAAGTGTGGTGGAGTGTCTAGAAACCATTTCCTTAAAGATTTGGTAATTATGGCCAATATTGAGAAAGTTCTTTGCAGTAATATCTTGTTGAATCATGAAATTACTAGTAATTTCAACTATTTACAATTTGTCTAATTTAAAGAAATGTTGAAAAAAATTGAACCCAAATAGTCCAAGTTCAGAAATTTCGACCAATTAAGGCCACTAGTATCAAAGTTCTTTATTCAAATTAAGGCTTAATCATGTTTAAAATACTATTCCATGTTTATCATAATAATAAATTAAGATAGTATAAGCTAACAACATAACATGATTAGCTTTTAAATTTTAAACCACCTTTTTTAAACACCTTAGTACAAGTTGGCCTAAGAATAGAACTAAATTAAAAATTAAGAAGCTATCAGAATAATTGAGTCTGCTGAAATAATGAAGCTGAAACAAATTATAATACAAATAAATATGAAGAAAGATATGTACACAAACAGATTGGATAGAATAAAAAATCAAGTGATAAAATGTATTCCTCAAATTGTATAACAAAACTAAAAGAAAAAAGGAGAACTATTACAGGGGTCAAAAATGAAATCCAGGAACATCAAGTTTTTGGAAGAACTTGCTTGTATAAAATTACCTTAACACTTCTCCTAGAACGATGAAAGTTCAGCATATTGTATGGATAAATAAGAACGTCTAAAAATTTTGCAATGTGTTAATAGTCTTGCACTGCGGCTATATGATTCAACAAGATGGGGGGAATCCTCATGGGAAGCACTTGGGTCTTTATGAACAGTGACGAACGAATATATTCAAAAAATCATCTTACACGAGTGCGACACCATGAATAGCAACATAAAATATCTTAAGGTGGAAGAAGTACAATTTTGGTGTCGTAATAATTTCGGTATCATAAACAATACAAAATGTTAAGGCTTTAAAAACAATAAGTTTTTTTTTAATATTTTATTTTCACATTAAATTATATCACTATTTCTTAATATTAAAAAGTAAAAATTTCCACAAAAATTAGCAAAATTTTATAATTGTTGAAATCCACTCAAATATGATATACCTGTCAACTTATATTCTGGCGTCGGATCGGCAGAAGATGATCCGACCGAATCAACCGGATGGTGACAGGCAGATCGAAAGGGTCATAATATGATTGTCTTTTGCCCATTTAAATAGTAAAATTATTAATGACTTTATTACGCAGTGCTAAGAAGGAATTTCGTACAGCAAGTTCAAGATCGTGTATTCCTCTTATAAATTAACGACATACAGGAATTATTATTATTTTACCACATAATTGTATATATGTAATTGAAAACATTCTACAAATGGGTTGGTACCTAAAAAAAATATTTGTTATTTAAATATTGCTCTAGTTTCCTGTTCAATGTAAATTTACATACAGAGTATTAAAATGCAAATGATCATCACTTGATCTATTGACATCGATTAGACTGTGACCGTGACGATGCTGTAGTTAGTTTGGTTACCATGTATTTATTGCACATAACATTATTTATTTTTTATGTCAATGTGCCTCCCTGATAGGGCTTTGTAGGATGGGCGTCCCTTGGGTGTCGTAGAAGGCGACTACGGGAACACAGCCTCCACATTCTCCTTTAATTCTATGGCCATGCTGTGATCGCCAACCCGTCTGCCAAGCGAGGCGATTACGGCAAAATCCCCCCTAATGATTGACACAAATAAAAATCGGCCCCTAGTTCCCGGCAGCCCTGCATTTCCAAGCCACGGTATCAGCTTTGGGCAGCAGGGCAGGCGATGAATCCCCGGGTAAGTTCCGGCTACAAAAACGACTGTACCTTTTTTTTAATGTCTGGGAATTGCCTTAAGAATCCTTCAGCCACTAGAGGAGCATGAAGAAGGAATCCGGGACTCCTCCCCGTTCATTTCACCCAGCTTTGAAGCCTGATAAAATTAACAGGGCCCTACAAGAGCGGTAAAAACTTCTTCTTCTGCGCCGGTAACCCGATACGCATTGTGAGGACTGAAGTCTAATGCGCGCCGAAAGTGCGAGTGATGTTGCGGCATCCGATTTCCAACTGACCGCGCACCCGCAAGATGACTGTTTGTTTCTGGACTCCCCCCGATGTGCAGTGTCCCGGAGTTAAAATGGCACCACCCATCACAGCAACCGTGCTATGCACCTCGACACCCCCTACGTCGAACCGTTGATACCCGGAGGAGCGGGAGGGGGAGCGCAGTTCTCCTCGTCCCTCTCCTCTCCCTCTTTCTCTCCAGGATATGACCGAGCGACCAAGATCGCTCGCTCGATCGATTGATCCCCTGTCTGGGGGCCCTGGCTCTGGCGCTAAGGACTAAGCGACCCTCCCCTTAGAGACCTTGCCTCTGACGACAGGAGAGTAGCAAACCCTTCCCCCCATAATAGCTGGGCGGCCAAATCCTACACACATAGCGCAGCGGGTTTCAGCGCGGCATTCTGCCACCTTGTGCCCCTCCAGCCCGCACCGGTAACACAACCGGCTTCGGTCTGCATCCAAAGGGCATCGATGGGCACTATATCCCTTGCCGAAGCACCGGTAACAGTATACCGGCAGGGGGGCCAGGACCTATATCCTGGCGATGTTTCACTCTACCTTTAGTTTCTTATCCTTTATCCTTGAGGGCCAACTTCTTGACAGCCCTAACAGGGTATCGGACTCTGGCGAATCTGATCCCTCCCGGTCCGGGACAGATCTCTCTAGCCGTCGCCTTCTCACTGGCGCAGCCCCCCTCATTCGCCACCGCCTCCACGATTTCCGCCATAGTGACTGTCTCATCAAGGCCGGATATCTGCATTTTTCTCCGGCCTGCTCACCTCAGCGTATTCGGCGAGGACGACCTTCATCCTCACCACCATATTCGCATAATCATAGCCCAGCTCT